AATTTATACCCAGACTAGCTATGCCTCTGGAGAGAGTCAACAATAGCCTCAGGAACATCAACGGCACCTGATACGTCGCTGTTGCTTGAATAATATCATACCTGGCTGACCCCTCGAACCTCTGACATGCGAAGGCTTCTGGGAAACTGTTTCGCTGCCTCTCTCCAAATAGGTTCTGCTCCGAGTCCACATAGGAGGTGATCATTTTTCCACTTCTAAATCGACCCCTTTCATTTGTCTGCATTATTCCTGAGGCTCATTCTTGATTTGATTCTTTGTTTGATTTTGTTTTTCTTTTAGTCATAGCGAGATGGAGGGAGTGGGAAGCTGGCATGAGAAAGCTCTCAGAGAAAGTGATTTTTTGTGTTACCTGAGCCCATGTTGGGGAAAGCAATTTGTAGACGTTCCGTCTGAGATTCACCCATCTTAAACTTGGGTGTTAGAAATCAAAATCCGACCAATCAAAATGCCTGTACTTCCTGGGCCCTGCAGTAAGTACATGGAGCTAATAAAACTGGGAATTTAATATAATGCACGTCCAAGCCGGCTCCCAGTACCTGAGGCACCAGGGAAGGCACGAGGTAGAGAACTTTCAAGCACCCCTCCCGTGCACCCCACAGGTTGTAGGACTGAAGCCATCCCCTTATACCAGCCCATGGGACTGGGTCGTGATGCACAACAGAGGGAAGAAGACACAGAAAAATCGCTCTGGGAAGCCCTCGTCCAACAAGGGAGAGGGGAGCAGGAGGAGGGGTCTAAAACCAGAGCGGCCATTGCTGCTAACCTCGCTATGCACAGTATCTCAGTTTACCCCGTTAATTCAGGTTCCGCTGACCCTGTACACAGATAACTTCCTATTAAGCCATCTTCTTGATTCGTAGGCTTCTCAGAACACTGTGTTACAGGCTTCTCAGAACGCTGTATTGGTCTGTCTGTCTTCTTGGGAATCCCTGAGCACTCCACGACAAATTCGATTCTAGAATTTATAAGAGAGATTATATATTTGAGGTGGGGGATGGGGTGAAAGAAAACACTATCTGATCACATGAGATTCTTCCTAGTGCCTACTTACTACAAAGCCTTAATCCCAAAACTCGTGATGCTATTTCCGGTCAGAAATGTTAATGAAACTATTCGCCGATGGTAAAGATTTCTGGATTCTTATAATGAAACGTGCAACTAACTGTATCCATAATATTAATAATCCACACTACTTACTCTCCGTGAGCAGGTCGTGAGCAATGTAATATTTCGGTACATAAATTCCATTTTTAGAATTATCAAAAATACACGTATGGCTAACTATTGGTAACAGTTACTTTCCCAAAGGAAAGTAATCCCTCTTTATTGACCATGAAATTATTTTAGTATTGAACTCAGATCTAAGGTCCGTTTCCCATCTGCTTTTTCGAAATAGAATAAAACAGTCCAGGCAGATGGGGGGCATAAACAATGCAGTCTGTAATCAGTTCAGGCTTCTGGGTGAGGCAGCAGATTGAACAAAGCATTTACTTCTCTCCCTTGAGAAACCGTGAGAAAGCGACAATAAAGGAATTTGTCCACAAAGACAAAGAAAACAGGAAGAGCCAACAGCCACAAAATATTGGGAGCCAGAAAGCAGAAGGACAAGTGGTAATTGACTTCGTCAGCTCAGTAGAGCTTCGTCCTGAACTGGCAGGAGGAGTCGCCAAGCAGCGGGAGCACTGCAGGACTGGGAACTGGCTACAGGCGGCCGCTCTAGAAAGGAGGCCGAGGTTACACACAGGAGCATCGGTTGAGAGATTGCCAAGGAAGCAGTTAGATCCCTTCCCAGTTCTGCACAGGTGGGCAGCTGCTCCTCCTCACTCTCGTATAGGACCAGAGCTTTCTTCTCTGGAGAGGCTGACATCAAGGGCTTCTGGGCTGGGAGGCACCAGACATACGTGGAGAGAGGAACACCCTATAAAACACATGCATGCTGAATGCTGGGGACCACATGCCCCCAGCCCCAGAGTGTCGGCGACCCAGCTGGGGACTGGGAGATCCTTTCCCGGGGGATCTGCACATCCCAAGAGGAAAACCCCAAAGGCATGAACAACAGGGGTTCCCCAAGAAAGGCCCAGCCCGCCAACAGTGAGGTCCTAGTCAGCGAGTCACACCCAGGGGCCCACTTTCCCATCAGCTTTTGAATTTTCAACCAGTTTCCACTTTTAAATATAAGCCAACACGCAGCCCAGGCATCTGAGAGAAACTTTGAACGTGAAGACAATATGAAAACAAAGAAAAAAGACAACTTCGAGAAAACAGACTTTGGCTTTGTTTGCTCATGGGGAAAATTTAAAAGCTTTAATTAATAGCCTACTTATAAAAATAACTAAAATTAATATCTTCAAAGAGATAAGAGACAACATTTTATTTGTGTAACAAGAACATTATGCTAAAATTAAAGAAATATTCAAAGAACAGAAAAAAGATGTCTTGAAAATTATACTAGAGACATAGGGTGATTGTCATAGAAAGGTTGAAATACTGAGTTGAGAATATCACCCAGAAAATAGAGAAAAAGACAAAGAGATGGAAGATAGGATGCGAAAACTGGAAATCGTGGAGACCAAGTCAAAAAATAAAAACTTTTTCAGATATACGAATTCTAGGAAAAATAACAATGTTACTTCCCACACATCCTTCAAAAGTTACTAAAAAGCTCTCCATCAAAAACAAGGACAGTGTGGCCTTCCAGGAAACAAGAAATCTAACAAGCCACGAAGAGGTGGACAGAACCCCCAGGATGGGGAGGAAGGGCCCTCCCGGGATATCTCTGCCACGCAGCGGGGTGAGAGGCCGGCAAGTCTCCGGAGAGATTTTCACACACGCAGAAGTGAAATGAATAAGCTACCTGATAAATCGGAGCGTGCCGAAAAGGGACCAAACAACTATAAAAGATGTGAGGGCGAACTGATGATAAATACTTAAAAAATTAAGCAAAGAAACAATAGGCAGCTATTAACTCCAGGGAAATAGAAGAACTGCGAAGGGAAGGAAAAGCAATCTTAAATCAACTGTGAAGAGCTAAGTCCTCCTCTTGGTAGCGGAGAAATGAATAGATAACACCAAAGACTAACGATCTAGAAGTAGCCTTGGAAGTGTGTTGCTTAGAGACTGGAAGAAAATACCAAAAGACTTAGTTAAGGTGGACATTGGTTGAGGCTGGGCATGGAGATGGGAAGGGAGGGGGGGTGAGGTGTTGCCTCAGGTAAACGGGCTCTGTAAGGCCCCCGTGGCCTTGAATCTTTGTCCCCTACGCCTTTCGGTGAGGCTCGGTCTGGCCGCTCTAATCCTAGTTTCCCTGCCTGCCTTTTCTTACGGCTCACACCACCTTCTAGCATCCTCTATGGTTTGCTTGTTCGTGATGTTTAGTGGGTTTTGTTTGTTTTTTTGTTTTGTTTGTTTGTTTCCGGCTAGAATGTCAGCAACACAGGGGTGGAGGTCTTTGTTGTTTTTTATTTATCGATATGACCCAGGTGCCTAGAACAGAGCCTGGAATCTAGTTAGTCTCAATTAACATCACCCGGTAAAATGAACTAGATTGTTTGTTTGTTTGTTCGTTTGTTTGTTTTTTAACTATGTGCATGCGTAGCTTCGGTTTTACAAAGTAAAATAAGTCATTTACCAAAAATGAGTAGCTTTGGTTTTACAAAGTAAAATAAGTCAAAAAAATCCCATACTTGAAATATTGCTCAGACAACTTAGTCTTCTATTAAGAAATATTATAACTTTTCTCAGACCTCAAAAAGACTGCCACTTACAGTGCATCCCAGTGTCCAGGCCTGATACACACTTACCTTTCTGCTTCACTGAGATAATTGTCAAACAGTATCATACAATGAGCGAGACTTAGGTAACACTTCCAAATTAGCAGTGATTTATGCAAGGTTGTGAGACATAAAGTTATAACGAAAAGAAGATACATTTGAGGAGTGATCCAATACTTCTGAGTGTGATCATTATTCATTAGTTTATACCCGGTCTTATTTCAAAAAGGATTTCAGGAAGCCTATTAAAGTATAGAGACTATAACATTCAATTACATTTAAATTAAATTAAACCTTGGCCAAAAAAGCATAGAAAATCAAAGATGGGACGAAGAAGAGCCAAGAAAATGGCTTCAAATATGTGCAATCATGGCCTGACGCTGGTCACAAATTTCTCTCTTATCTCTGTGTCTATTAGTATTAGATTCAGTGATAAGTAACAAAGAGATTCAACATGTGGGTGGTTACATAAGATGATACAGGAGTTTATTTCTCTCGAATGTAAAAGTTCAGATATGTGCAGTCCAGGTCCAGTATGGGAGCTCGATCTACTGAATTTCGAGGTCCCTCCAGCTCACTGCTCTGCCTTCCCAGTATAGAACTTATCCCCACAGTCTAAAACGGCAGCAGAATGGAGCAGGAGGACAAAGAGTGAGCACGGGGCCACCTGCCAATCGTTTCCTAAGAAACATTCCCAGAAACTGCTGCGAAATAATTCCCCTTTTATCTCACCATCCATACCTAAGTAAAGAGGCCAATCCCAGCAGGTGAAGCTGGGTAAAGCAGTCATCCTTCTGGGCAGACACATGTCCTAGTCAAAGTTCTGTTAAAATGGACCAAGAGGAGAGATGGATGTGAAGGACGTGAGCATCTGCCACGGCATCACGGCGACTGAAAGGGGGAAGGGAATGGGGTCGGGTTCAAAATAACGGAGACTGTAACGAGGACCAGTTAGTTGCTCGAGGGACTTAAAGTGGCTTTGGGTAAACGAGATTAAAGAGGGACGACTCGGGAGGCCTTCCCGACAAGAAAGAGTTCGATCTTGCCACATCCACGCGACCCGTTCCGTAGGACCGTCCCTTATCACGGCTCTTACGCTGACAGTTTAGGAAAGATGTGTCTGCAGAGGTTTGAGTTTCCAAGTTCATCTTCGCCACGGTTTTTAAAAACCTTAAGAAAAACATGTTCTGTTGATCTTATTTGTTTCAGAATTAAAGAAAACTCTCTCTACCTCCGTTTACGAGAAAGAAACCACTGCAATCACAGAGACTACCAGAATCTTTCCAAAAATGGTATGTAGCCTTCCGCTTACGCGTCACCGAGGCGCCTTTAATGACGGATTTCATTTCTGAAGTGCCACGAAAGCTGAGGATTAGATAACGAGGACCACGGGACAAAATGAATCGTCTCCCTTTCCAACGCCATGGCCCTTTCAGAGAGAGGGGACCTTGGCTTGGGGCCTTTTCCCCACTGCGAAAGAGGACAAGAACAAGACACAGTCAGGCGCAGGCGAGGGCGCAGGTCGGTCGTCCAACAGGTTCTAGAAAGGCCCCGGTGCGGGGTGATCAAGGCCCAGGAGGAAGGACCTAAGTAACCATTAGCAGAACAGGAGCTGAGCCAAATCAAGGTCATTGCAAAGACTCCGCCCCCTCCACTCGTGTAAAGTCTGCCACATTTCTACCAGGGTCGGAATTTTAGGAAAAACAGCGAAGTGGCTGAAATCCCCAAAGCCGTTAAGGAAAGGAACGTGTTTCTAGAGTGTCGTGGAGGCTTGCGGGTGTCCATCAGCTTCCCAGGTTGCCCAGGATAGCTGTGTCTTCGGGGCTGGCTTCTTACCCGTGGGGTTCTCACTTCCCACCCGGGACCCAGATTCAAGCCATGGCCACAAGATTTTGGTGAAACTCCTGATTGATACGCCATGGCCTGGCCAGTGCCTACTGAACTGCCAAGTCATGTCCTGTGACACCATAATGCAGAGATGGCAAACAGGGTGTGTGTCACCACTCCATCTTCCTAAGCCCAGGGAAGATATTTCTGATCGACCTTGACATTCTTGTCTGCTATACCCAGAATTGCCCCAGCGGTTCTCACGACACAGCACATCTGACAATCACCATCAACAGATTAGACGTGGCACATAAAGGTAAAGCTATTTTCCATCCCGGGCCACCTCTGATTAACGAGGATGCTGAGGAATTTTCCAAGCAGTGCGACTTTTAACTACATATAATGACCTACACATTTCTTACAACGTACACTCTACACAAAAGGTTCTATTCTAAGAACAAAACAGACGTTTCACTAATAAAATAACAGCCGATATCTATTGATCTCTCACAAGAGCTAAGCATACTTACGTATACTATTTCAGCTAGTCCTTTTAACAAACTGAAAGTCGAATATTATTATAGTTCTTCAGTTCCAAGATGCCACTGATTGTAACAGCTCTGAGAGGAAAAATTACAAAGCACACATTGATTACCACACTCAACCCAATATTAAATTTGTTAAAATACATTTCTCAGAATTGAGGAATTGTAATGATGTCCCCACTATAACAGTTGGGAAAACAGAAGCATACACAGACCGAGAACCTGGTCCTAGATCGCAGAGACAGTAAGTAGCAAGAGTTGGAATTTTTTCCCAGCTCGTCTGGCTCGGCCCAGACACCAACAAAGATAAGACGGTCACTGGCCTACGGTCTGAGATCACCTACAGGAGGAGGTCGGCCTCGCCTCTCCGCGTGTGAACACGACCAGCAGTTTACAGGGAAGCTGTCATCGAACCTGGCCGGGAATCATCAAAGCGACTATCGGCCCCTCGCTGCACTTGCTCTTCTCCTTCAGTGAGAAATTCACAGGCCCAGAGCTGTGGGAAGCCCCCTGTCAACGCAGCCCGGGCTGTCGAAACCGAAGAACAAAACCCCCTGCATGCGATACTCTGCGGTTCTAGAAAACGATGGTTGCACGCTTATAGATTTTTGTTTAGGAAGATAGAACACTGCCAAAAGAAATCCTGGGACGTACAGTTGGACAGGATAGTTTAACTTCTACTACATTTTTTAAAATAACTGAGGAAAAACAGCTGTACATAGAAAACACACCCAAATCATGATGTTTGACAAATTATAGGTGATTGCTTTGAGTTTTTTACTTTTCTGTTTCCCAAAGATTTTCTTTTTAGATAGAAATATCCTTTAAAAAAAAAAAAAAAAAACTAGAAATAAATAACGGCGTCTAGGAACGGTACAGGGCTGGCCCGAGGTCCCACAGCTGAGGGCATCGGCTCAGCACGAGGGATAAGCAATAGCATTCGCCCCTGTCACAGTCTGCGAGCTGCTCACTCCACGTGCCTGTGACACCTTCTCTTCTCTCTCCACGAGACCCGAACGTGTCAACTCAACATCACTGTCTACCCACAACGAATACAGCGACCTTTCGTAAAATCCAAAAGACCGAAGTGACACACTCCAAAAAGTCCGCGGTACCATTTATAGGAGATGTCTCTCCTTTTGTGGTATGCCATCTCGACAATAGTCTTTCAAAATTCCGAACGTGGAGATCAAAAGGGGGGACGGAGGGACTGGAGGAGAGCCTGCTCGTGAAAAACCAAGCGTGTCAAAATGTGCGCAAAACCTGTGGCTTCCGTGAGGCTTTTGTCTAATGAATAGTTGTCGGGAGGGCAGGAGAGACTATTGCCTTGCTTTTCTTTAAATTTGCAACCCTTAGAAATAGAGGGAACGTACACTTTGTCGAGTAGGACTTCTTAGAAGATGCCG